TTGCTAGAAGTGAGTCAATTGAATTCCACAATAAATTTCCAACTGCAGACCAACGTACAGTATTTACCCCTGTATTTAAAAATATTACCAGTGATACAATTTTGAAGAAAAATATATTACCAGCAATACATTTTTGAAGAAAATTTTTTTACCAGCAATACATTTTTTAAGAAAAACTATTACCAGTAATACATTTTGAAGAAAAAAATATTACGAATAATACATTTTTGAAGAAAAAATATCAACAATATATTTTTGAAGAAAAAATATTATCAGCAATACATTTTGAAGAAAAAGAATATTACCAGTAATACATTTTTGAAGAAAAAATACTATTAACAATACATTTTTGAAGAAAAATTATTACTAGCAATATATTTTGAAGAAAAAATATTACCAGCTGTACATTTTTTGAACAAAAAATTATTAGCAGCAATACATTTTTGAAAAAAATATTACTAGCAATAAAAAATCTTGTCGGCATATTGAGGTTGATATGCGTAAAACAAAACAAACTATCTTCCTTGTTTGTAAGTGGGTGTTGGTTGATGGTCTTGAGGCGAATATAATAAAACTTTCTTCCTCTCTTTCTTTCTTTTCTCGGCTGTCTTCTCTCTTTCTTTCTCTCTTTCTTTCTTATCTCGGCCGTCTTCTCTCTTTCTTTCTTCTCTCGACCGTCTTCTCTCTTTCTTTCTTCTCTCTTGCTTTCTTCTCTCTTGCTTTCTTCTCTCGACCGTCTTCTCTCTTTCTTTCTTTCTTTCTTTCTTTCTTTCTTTCTTCCTTCTCTCTTGCTTTCTTCCCTCGGCTGTCTTCTCTCTTTCTTTCTTCTCTCGGTCGTCTTCTCTCTTTCTTTCTTTCTTTCTTTCTTTCTTTCTTTCTTTCTTTCTTTCTTTCTTTCTTTCTTATCTCGGCCGTCTTCTCTCTTTCTTTCTTCTCTCGGCCGTCTTCTCTCTTTCTTTCTTCTCTCTGCCGTCTTCCCTCTTTCTTTCTTCTCTCGACCGACTTCTCTCTTTCTTCTTTCTGAAACTATTATTTAACAACACTTAGTACAAATTCTGCCATGTTAGTCTAACAGATCAACCAAGTACTCCGATACTGTTCTATTACTCCCCTACTCATCACGATGCACGGCTGGCAACTCTAACACGCAGCATCAGAACTATCCGAAGGAAAGCTAACGGGTTGTCCAGAGCTACTTTCAATCTCAATTGTGACTGCGAATGGAAATCCGCAACGGCCGTTTTGTTGTCACTTTTCCCAACGATTTTACATTTATTTAGCTATTATTTTATTCTCTTTTGATCAAGTGGATGGTTGCTTTTAAAAATCCCATTTCACAGACTTTAGCGCTGGTAATAAAAAACAAAACGCTTAAAGTTGAAATAAAATCTTTTAGCACCCTCTTCTATGTTGATGTCCCTACATAATGTCACAAAAGCAAAGTGACTTTACGATTACCCAGTGATGGTGAATTTTATGCAAATTGTGAAATGATTTCTGTTTACAATGCTTCGCAATGTTTCGTTTTGGTTTAGTATTTCATGATAGTCGACACTCTCCTTATCTCACCAAACATAGAATATTTTTCAGGTGTAATCCAGGTTTGGGAATTGATTTTCCTTTTCCATTGAGTGCTAACCATTTTCATTTTATATTCTGATTAGCTAATGCAAATCTCGTCGCCATTATAAAAGAAATATGTACTCCCTGATTATTAATACATTTTCTGTTGTTAAAACCACATCGTGGAGGGAATTATGCGGATCGGCTTCCTGTTAACAGGTCGGCGTACCTGGCAGAATGGATTTGATGCTGCAATACCCGAAATCCGTAATGAAGCTGGGGTAACATCACTGATGACCTCTGCCATTGCGTTTCATAAATGTATTTGAAGAATAGAGAACACATTTTTCCTCACTGGTGATGATTCTACCATGACGAGCAGTGAGCAACATTGCGATTGACAAGCAGACACATGAGGGATACATGAAGGTGGGAATTGTATTGAACTGTTTGAACGTGTAGTTTGCTTAAGATTTTCCACAACTACAGTTTGCTTCAGTTCAATATTGACAGAACGTCATCGTCTTCATCGGGGGAAATCGTTTTTCCGATTTCCCGATCGAAACTCGCCAATCCATTGTTGGTATATCCGGACACTTAAAAAACTTCATTTCGATAAACAAAACGAATATTTCTTGCTGCTTTCGTTGCTGGCATGAGTCTGATGTAAACTCATTTTAAAAGAGCAAAAAAAAAAAAAAAAAGAAAGACCTACTCTGATATTAAGTAATCTGTGAAGAATGAAAAAAGACACTAGAAGGTTAAAATTGTCATTTTACCGTAAGTATTTGTTGTGAATTCCGGGATGAAATCCGCTACCAATAAATAACAAACGCCAAGTATGAATATATGAAAATAATGTATTAACGTAATAATACAAACTGGTAATGCAGGTTAGTAGTTCCAGGAATACGGGTTAGTAGCAAAATATTTATACAGTCTTTGGTATTGAAGTATCGATGTATGACTTCTTACCGAGTCTACGTGCTCGCTCACTGTGACTCTTGCTGGCTACGTTCGTTCTGTCTGTCTGTCTGTTACCTTCACCCTCTGTTGCTCTCGTCCCTCGGGTCTTCCCGTAGCAGTAGTATATGTATATACTGGGTGAGTCCATTTGTGTAAAAAGGGGAGGACCCCTCAACAGTATTAAAAACTATCTTAAGAATGATAGTGTCAAAAATGTGTGAGAACTTCATTACCAATCAAATATTATATTTTAGATTCCTCAAAGACCTAAGTTAAGGAATTCAGACCCTCTTCTCTCAAAGGACTGATGTAAAACAATAAAGAAAATATTCGCTTGCCCTCATTCAACACTGTGCTGGACCATAAGATCAAGACATACATATATAGCGTAAAACACGGGTCACGACTAGAGTCATCCCTTCATAAGATTTAACGTTGGTAAGCGTTTTTTACTTGGTCTAGGCAATCTGGGCTTCGAGCACTTTATTGATTAGGTAAGTTTTCATTTAGGCGTCTTTTCTCTTTCTTTTTTCAGTTTTGTCGGTTTTATTCAAGATTGTATCTGGATAAGAGTTTTAGGTTTTGGCAAGTCGTCCTTAGATTCAACCAACATATATATATATATATATATATATATATATATATATATATATATATACCAAAAGGTGAGCTCAAAATGTTGACTTAAGACAGAGAATTATTAACTTCCACAAGTACGGAAATAGTTACAGCACAATTTGAAACCGGTTAGCTATCCCAAGCTCTATGGTAGAGTCCGTTATAAAGTAGTTTTAAACAGTTTGACACGACAGAAAATTTACCTGAGCGTGGAAGAAAACCCAAATTGTCACCAACAACTGCATGAAAATTGTGTCGCGAGGTTAATATAAGCCCAAGAGTTGTTCTGAAAAAACATCAACCAAAAGTTTGGATACGATGGGTATCAGCGGAAGTGCTCGCACAATACAATGTTATTTAAATAAATATTAATATGCTTTGTATGGAAACCGATCACGACCCTCTTCACAAACTATGTCACATTGTTGCTAGGTTTAATTTTCCCAAGACGTTCTTAGACAAAGAAAATTGCTTTGGGGAACAAGTACTATGGAATGATGAAACAAAAATTGAGCTTTTCAGACATAATGATGTACAGAAGATTTGGTGCAAGAAAGGTGAGTATTGTGAAGATTTGACAAGAATGGTAAGAAACTGGACGCAAATTTAATGTGAATGATCTAGTGATTAAAGCACTTTCTATACACTCTCGTCTTAGTACATTACTTTCTCTTTTAATTAAAGAAGCATTTTTAAAATCGAAACAACGATCAGACTCATTACTGCGTACAACTAATGCACTGAACGTCTTGCTTTAAAAAAGATCACTTTTGTTTTTGCGTATGTGTGTGTAGGCGTGGGTGTTGATTCATCTCTCCACATATTCGATACTTGCAAGCAGAATAGATCTGATATTAATCACTTTTCCACCATAAATACACCAAATTTTAAACAATATATATATATATATATATATGTATATAAAACTGAGTCTAAAATATATAAAAATTAGTCTAAATAATGGATAATTTAAAAAAATCAGTAATCGATAAATTAATAATCAATAAACTCAACGTTTTTCCTCCGGTTTCGTTCAAACTCGGTATGTAGGTTATTTGCATCATGACGAGCTCAACGATACATCATTTTTATTTCTACGACACTGCGTTTAGCGAAAAACCGCGTAAAACGAAAAATCGATTTCAACAAAAATCGATTTCTGTTGAAATCGATTTCAAGACAAATTTTAAACTAAAAATCTCCCTCAATTTTCAAGCAATCTAATACAAACTTCACTCGATTGTAGCCAACAATAAGTTGATTGTTTAACAGTCATTTAACTTGATAATTGAGTTTACCCAATTATCAACCTGCGTAAATAGCAAAAAAAAAAAAAAAGATGTCAGGATATTAACACAAAAACATGTTAATATTTAGCTCTACTCTGTAATGAGCCCACTTTTTAAATTAAATGTTACGTGCAGTAGAATTATACCCTTGTTCGCATTTTTTTATATATATATATATATATATATATATATATATATATATATATATATATATGAAGAGAGAAAGAACAGATGGAGTAAAAATCCATTGTTCGTAGCATATACTTTTAAAAAAAAGTACTCAATACAAAGTAGAGCAATATATTATTATTATTATATTTTAATTATAAGAGGTTACAAGTAACATACCATGGCCTGAAGAAATACAATCATAGTATTGAAACATGAAAGCTTTTGTGTTGCGATTTCAAAATATTTTATTATAAATCTTATAATAAAAAAATATATATATATATATATATATATATATATATATATATATATATATACAGTAAATTCATACATGCAGCAACATTGTTGAAAATTTGTTTTATATTCGTAGGGGAAGAGGGGCACCTGGACGTAGTGTAATGGTTAGTAAGTTTGTCTCGCTAGAAAAATACGACTGAATAGTGACTTCGATACTCACTGGGTGGCCTAAACTTTCGTCCTTGTGCCAAATCTAAGCTATGCTTAAAAAAAATGACCATAGGGGAAGTTTGCTCGATATTAAAAATAGAGCGTGTAGATACATGATATAATAATTATGCTCCTATTAGTAAATTAGAATATGCGTTCTCTTTTGCCATTACCACAGATAAATAATAGACCATTCCGTTTTGATGAGGAAAAAATATTGAAGAAAAACTATATATCAGATATGCAGTTTTGGCTTCAGTGAAAAAAAACAACAGAAATCAAGTATAATTAATATGAAAAAGAAAGAAATGGAAGCTAGAGGAGGCGATAGCTCTCATTCATTTAACGGGTTTCTGTGAAAAAACCTTATCATCTGTGTCTGGATTTCTGGGATGAGGAGTTCTCATTATTTACATTCGGACTATTATCCTTATCTTTATTGTTGTTATCACAACATTTCGGCCATTGTGCTCTCCACTCTTCATCAAGTGTATATTGACCTGGGTAATCTATAGAAAATTTTGAACTGTATCTGTTCTGGTACCACTGGCCTGTTTCCACTGAATCCCAGCGCACACTGTCCGGCCCAGAGATTGAACTCACAATTACTGTTATCAAATTCACAAACTAACTCTTTAATCCAGAGTATTGTCTACAAGACAACAACCCAGTGGCTTAAACGGTATCAATTTTGACTCTTTTCATTTATACCTTTTTTATTTTTTGAAATAATGACCTACATTTATACTTAGGATTATTTTTGCCATGGAAATTAAGTATTGATTCAACAGAAAATTAAAACAAGAAAACTGAAACGGGATTTTGCTAGTTTAAGTAAATACGCTTGGGGAGAGAAACTGCTTGCGGATGCAATGTTGAATTCATAACATAAGAGGTCTGTCTGTAAAGTAACGGGACTAGTGTCACAAACAATTTTAAAAATAAATAAATCTATTCAAAAAAAAAAAAT